CTAATGTGTTCTTTCTCCAAACTACTTTTGGTTTTGACAATCTAAGCATTTGATTTCACTACTGATAAAATGTAGCTAGATAGAGGAAATATCTCTCTTGACGGAAACTCAGCTTCCTTTATATTTCATCTATACGAATTCATAATGCTACACTTATGGATAAGGTAATTTTTAGTACGCATCACTATGAGTTGAGATACAATTCATTTTTCAGGTTGATGTTCATCATGGTCTGACATCAGTAGAAGAAACATTGGAAAACTGGGAGCATAGGACAGCTGTTTCGTCCTAGGGTGGAACTCCTCAGCACTGCGCACCCATGAATCTCGTCTCCAGGGATTGAACCAAGAACATTCATGTTCCGTGGTCAGCGAGTTACCATTGAGCCACTGGGTCGAAACCTATTGGTCCGCATTTCCTACTTCTGTTAGTTCACGGTATAGTGCAACCTCCACCCAATGTCGTCGCTGAGCATCTGTCCTCAGGTTTGACTTGAGAAGTTGTAACAGGTGGGGTGAACTGACAGGATTAGGAAATATGGACTAGTGAATTCCGACCCAGTGGCCCAATGGTAACGTGCTGACCATGGAACCTAATGGTCTGGGGTTTGACAGCCGGCGTGTGGGTGCGCATTTCTGAGGTGTCTCGTACTAGGACAAAACAGTTGTCCAGTGCTCACAGAATTTCAATAGTTATCCTACCGATGTCATTCCATGAAGAATACCATCTTGAACTTAAATCCACGTTTGAAGTATCAATGATGACAACATATAAATGAGTTTTAATCACTTAACCTCCATTTTGACCTTGCTTTTTTAGTACACACTTGTTATCGTCAACGCGTTAGAACTAGGTTTTTTTCTATGACTGACTCTGAATCTAAAAATGTCTTCATGCTTTGTATTAAAATTATTTAGATTATCTGTTGTATTACCGTGTACATGCATGCAGTGTCCATTTAAACCTAATAACGCTGTGTATACTGATCACAGAGTTAACTGATAATAGACAGATTGAATTATGAATTTAGTTTACTTGTTTATTGTATCTACAGGTTGACTATATTGTTAGCTTGAATCAAGTGTATAAAAAAATAAAACTGATACAGTTACGATCATCCGTTCATGTCATATCAATGTAATGATTACCACTGAAATATTTCAGTTTTTCAGATTAACTTTGTAGTAATTCACTGAACGTAATCAATACATCCGGTTACAGTGATAGTCATAAATAAAAAAGCATACGATAGAGTGCCTGAGGCAATCATGTTCACTGACGCTCATCAGCAAATCTCATGTTTGTCAAATACACAACCAAGCCGTTTGCAGTGGAACATTTTATTCGTGTGAATATAAAAATGTTGATTTTATCCAACTAATTTGTATCCGTTTAACGTCGATAAAACTTTATAAATATGAAATAAACGGCTCCAACTGTTCATTCAGAAGTGTTAAAAGAAGGCTAAGCAGTTACCATAAGATTGTTTTACATGCATAAACTAAAGTTCAAGTGTTCCGTTTATTCATGACTGAAAGGACGGCTATTTTTAACTGCAGTCCTGTACTCACAATACCAAATGCAAGCAATTGTTATCAGTGATAATGAACATGAAATATGAATGACATTGAGCAGAAGAATATGAAGATACTGAAAATCTACTGACTGACCACTGGAGGGTAACCAACTTCAAGTTGTCTTATCCTAAGTGCTGATCAAATTCTATCGATCATTTTTGCAATGTGGCTACCAGGTATCTATTGAAAGTCAAATTTCGAGATAATATATATGTTAAAGGGAAAAGTTAGTCATGCATTAGTCAGAGTGAGATGAAGCTTTTGATAGCCCTGAATTTCACTATCAAGATTCATTAATTTTATACGTAAGCGCAAACATATCCACTCTGCATTTCACACCCGTCGGATTCGATTTGTCCCCTTCAAAACTGCACAGACTTCTTTTCGTCACTGGGGTCTAATTCACTTCACGAAGTTCCTTGTCCTTCCTTTTGATCATGGTATGGTTTTATTGTTAGTATCTTTGTTGTCACGCTTATTCTGATTACTGGTAACCGATTGAAGATATCATTACAATGCCTCATTCATCTATATAAAGTCAGCATAATATTGCTGAAATACATCGTTTGAACTTAAATGAGCTAAAGATTGAAATGAATATAAACTTTCGGATATCTGTCCAAAGTTGTTATAGTGTGCAATAAGAAGGACAAAATCTTCATAAGAAGCCATATATCCCTGGAGCCCGTTATAAGCAATCGTTTTGCTCCGAAGTTTCGAGAGAAAACATATGAACCAACAAGTAAATACCAGAATAATGTATTTTTGAGATGAATGGGGATTTTTAATTTAGAAGTAGTATTCATCATGGACTGACATCAGTTGGGGAACCATTGAAAATCTGGGAGCACTGGACAGCTGTTTCACTCTAGTACAAGACTCCTAAGCAGTACGCACCCACGACCCAGCTAGGGATCGGACTCGGAACCTTCAGGTTTCATGGCGAACGTGTTAACCATCCAGCCACTGGGTCGGTTTCCACTGGTTCACAATTCCCAACCCCTATCAATTCACGACATAGCGCAACTATCACCCAAGGTCTTCAGTTAGCATCCGCTTCACTTACGACTGGTTGAAACCGTGAGGACTGAAGGTTCTGAGTCCGACCCCTAGCTGGTTCGTGGGTGCGTACTGCTTAGGAGTCTTGTACTAGAGTGAAACAGCTGTCCAGTGCTCCCAGATTTTTAATGGTTCCCCAACTGATGTCAGTCCATGATGAATATTACTTCTAAATTAAAAATCCCCACTCATCTCAAAAATACATTACTCTATAGTGCTTATTAGTGACTTGCTTCCAAATGGATATCAGGAAGTTCTAATGAGAAGCCGTGACCTGTGGGGTCAACCAGTCGGAAGTGAGTGGATGCTAACTGAAGACGTTGGGTGACAGTCACGCTACATTGTGAATTGACAGAAGTTGGAAATTGTGAACCGCTGGAAACCGACCCAGTGGCTGAATGGTTGACGCGTTTGCCGTGAAACCTGAAGGTCCTGAGTTCAGTCCGTAGCCGGGTAGTGGGTGCGTACTGCGGAGTCCCATACTAGGACGAAACAGCTGTCCAGTGCTTCCAGATTTTCAATGGTTCCCCAACTAATGTCAGTACATGATGAATACTACTTCTAAATATCAGAATGGTTGAACAGACAAAAAGTCAATAGGATATTCGGATCTAGAAAGGCCTGGAAATAGCCAAGGCCATTGTGACTATATATAAAACCTTGTATTTTGTATGTATTTTTGACGTTACAATACACCTTCTATTATATTACCCTGTTTTCCATTCACTGCGAAACTGAGCGACCATCAAGGGCTGGAATCTAAAGGTTGTTGTTCAAGCGTCTACCCACATATATTCAATTCAGGTTGTATCAAGTATTCACTACGACAATATAGCAAGTGGCGACAAGGATATAACAAAAGCCATTCATTTTAATGACTAATATACACTAAAAACGTGTTGCCTTGGAATTGTATGTGGCCTACACAGTGTTAGGTAAGAATAGAGCATTCTATGAAAACAAGAAGGGTGTATTTCACGACGACAGTGCCATACTTCAAGTAATAAAATAGATCTGGAAACAGACAAACATAGTGAAGGATTAGAAGTGCATAATTCATTCTAGAAAAACCACAACATGAATGATTACACAACACAAAAGAAACCAAGTTACAGGTGTAATTAAGGAAAATATTCACAGAATAAGATAAACATATCCACACATATGCCAGAAGAAGACATAAGTAAACAATACCGTTTTCAATCAGCTCTCATCAAGCTCTACCGTAATATACATAAGTTTTCGCATATATATAAAACATTAAACCGACCAAGGTGAACTCTTTATTCTGTGGTAAGTTAGATATGAAACATGCAAATAGCAGATACTTAGATAATAATAATAATAATAGTGGTGGTACCAGTAATTATCTTAGTGATGATAAGAATGACCGGAACAGTCTGGTCCTGCATACATTTAGACAATCAATATAGGTCAAAACTTAGGAAAATAAAAGTTACGTAATACTTAAGGATGAAGTGTTGCACACATTTAGTCTGCACACACACACACACAAATTCCAATAGCCTCAGCTATAGGGAAAATGTGAGTACAAAGTCCATTCGAAAGATTTTGTGGAATGCGACAGTTGAGTTTGAACGTTTTGGTCTTATCTATTACACGACCACTATCGACAAAATGCGACAGAGTTGAATATTGTATTGACTTCACTTGTCTCTTTCTTAGCCATGATTGTAGGTGATCAACAACACATTTGTTAAGCTGCTCAGTTGTACGCCCAATATAGTTTTCTCCACAGGAGCAGATGAATTGATAAGTACACATAGAAGTCGCAGAAATGAGAAACATGTTTTTTGTCTAAGCAACAATTATCGACCGACTAGAAAATGATAACCAAAAGTTAGCAGGATAGAAAATTCTTCTGATGGCTGTAGACAGCCTCTAGAATAGATGTTTGCAGTACTATACTGTTCCCACTATTCTTATCATCATTGAGATTATTATTATTATTACCATTAATATTATTGTTGTCTAGATATCTGCTGTTTTCATGTTTCATATCGAACTTACCACAGAATAAAGAGTTCACTATGATCGGTTTAATGTTTTATATACATGAGAAAATTTATGTATATTAGGGTGAAGCCTGATAAGGGATGATTAAAAACAATATTGTACGCTTATATGCCTCCTTTAAATCATTAGTACACATACAATACCATAAAGAGAGAATGCTTATGATTAACCATCACCAGGAACTGTTACATAATGTACGCATGCATTTTCATGATTACAACCAACGAAAAAACATATAAACGAACGTGCATTTAGCTGTTAGTATGAAATGAGGAAACAGACAGAAATAAATTAAACACTGGAAGGATGATAATCTTTTCAAATTACTGTGATCACTTCATCCATAAGTATTCCATAAGTGGTGATCTTGTGAAAGGATGGAGGAAAAAATTGTTGAAAAGTGCAAATTTAGACTAGAACCAATGCACAAAAATTCATAGGATAAAAAAAATTTTTTAAATCTTTCAGATGGAAACATAATAGGGTACAGAGAGAGTTCCTAGTACAGTTTATGATGGATTGATTTGTTCAACTATGATGGTATAAAGCAATATTGCATAATCAACCTGTATAAGTTCAGTCAGGAAACTTGAAGCCCTGGATAACTAGATAAAAGAGTAAGGTTGCTATGCTTCTAAAAGCGGATAAAGTCGATATTCTCTGTGAAAAGTCTGTTGAAATGCTTCAACGGCGTTTCTAGGACATTGATTAGAATATGCATAAGGTCCACTGACTACAAACGCTTATGCGGTATCTCGATAACTCGCTAACGCAATTTCATATGTTTAGTCGACCAATTGATTTAACTAAGATAAACTCTATTTAAAAAGAAGTGAAGATGATACGTTATTATTTGGAATTTAACATAGTCGTCAGTTTAAAGGGATCATTTTATTGCTATGCATCAATCATTATGCGATCAGCTGACCATATTTATTACTGAAAAATTGTTTCACTTTGCCAATGCATTTGCTGACAGGTGAATTGTCAAAAGATGGTGAATTCATTGTATTCGAAATTGACGAAAAAAAATGCCATTTTATAAATGGCTATAAATTTTGAGTATTCAAGATAAGAACATCTATCTGATTGTAATATCTCCTGAAGCCAGAGGAATTTGACTCATAAATACGGCTTGTTTCGATCACATAAACTATCTTCACTGACTAGAAAACTTTGGTTTGCCTAAAGAAATCTGGATATCAGTATTGATAGTTTCTAACTATATATATCGATTAGTTTGCCAAAACTAGTTAGTTGAAAAATTGCTGAGCCATGGTAAATGTCGACCACGTAGTCTGTGTAAATTAATGACATCTTGTTTATGGAATAAAAAATACTTTTATAAGTCATCAACATAGGGAGACAACTTTTAAGGTTAACTTCATCTTGGTGACTATCAGTGGAATCCAGGATGCGCGTTACGCCCTATTTGGGGCTCATCAGCCGGATTTACCTGCCCCCCAGTAAGTGATGTTGTTCTTACTAAGATTCGAACATCGTACCTATCGTTTCAAACACCAAAGTGCTTTCCACTAAGTCACTGGGGTACGATAGCCACCTCTTGTACAACGAGTATTAACTGTTACTATGATACTTGTAATTGTAATTAAAGATTACCACTTGTCAAAGTTGAACGAATTAAAACAGTGTAAGGGTAAATAGGAATAACCAAAGAAATAAACCTACTTGACTCCTTAGTTGAGCATAGTGACGCCTAGCTAAAGATAATTGTTCAGTTAGATCACCTGCACGATTACACTGTTCTTCAGCAACTCGTTCCAATTCAGCGACTTCACGAGCTGTACGTCTTTTTAAGCGCTTTGATTCACGTTGAGCAGCTATCAATGCCGACTTTGTATCCATCAGGACTTGTAAGAGGTTATTATTACTACTGTTGTTATTATTATTGTCTTGTGTTTTAGTGGAACTCTTTGTTTCCAATTCATTGAATAGATGACTAAGAGATGTTTGTTTGTTTTCATCATCTCCCATCGAATATTTCTGATGCTGTTCTTTAAAAGGAGAGAATATAGACATTAATAAAAGGTTATGTAAATCTAGAATATTAATAATCTTAAGAAGTGATCATGATGATATATGGCTATTCAAGAGGACATTTGGTGGAAAAAATGGTCAGTGAGTGATGTTAATCAAATCATAAAAAAGTGTATGCGTGTGAAACGATATTCTCATTTCAAGGTAGCATCTGTCACGCAATGATAACAGTTGGAGAACCACTGAAGACCTAGGATCAATGGATGGATTTTTCACTTTGTTATCCGACTGTTTAGCAAGGAGCGTCCACGACCTTCAAACGGATCGAGCTGAGGACTCAAAAGTCTCATGACAAGCATGTTACCCTCAACTATTGAATTAGAATCAAATGGTCTATACTTTCAGTCCATGATGTATGCTAACATGAAATGGAGAACACAGATATTTTAATCAGTGGCTCATTGGCTTAAGTAGTTGACTTTCAGCCACTGGGTCACAGGCTCAAAGCCAGCTCCGCCTACCAAATCTGGACAGTCAGATGGTGTCGTAAGTCCTCACACAACAGTTTTGATCTATTGTCCACTGCGTCAACCTCCATGAAGTTTCTGAGTGCATTTCGATCTCTTGATTCGATTGGTTATCTTCTAAGTACTACTAAATCTCTACTACTATCATTGTTACTGAAAATAGACACATATCATATTGTGTGACTAAGTCGGATTGAACTTTAGGGACTGCCTGAAATACACGCCTTAGACTCGCAATTATGTATGACCTGATGTATTTAGTCAATAAGCAAGACATTAAGATGTAAGTAGAAAAAGACATACTTAATTTTTCCAGTTCCCTTTCTAATTCTTCATATTTACTTTTTGCTTGTTCTTTAGAGATCAATTCGTTCTGTGAAAAAAAGAGGATAATTTAGTATGCAGGAGAACAGACAAAACATTAATGAAGATCCTACCCACTCTAAAAGAAACGTCATGGAATAGGTCATTCGATAGAAAGCGCTCTGGTTAGACAACAAAACAACAGCATTGTTTAGTCAATTACAGATACTTCTATTAGAAATTTTTATTGAAAAAGTTTCATTATGATCTATTTCAAGCCTTGCATCATCAATTTTAGCGTCTACAAACATTGCAGTACACTGCATCATTTTCACCGACAAAGAGGAATAAAAGCTTCAACAAGAATTCATCACTAATAGTTACAGTGGACTGCAGCATGTTTCAGAATAGGAAGCTTTAATTTCTTGCATATACTTCAGATCACGTCTTTGGTGTCAGGAGAATGTGGTGTGACGATGACGACGAACAACTTGACATCCCAACAATCAAATAAATTCCACACTGAAGTCAAGACAGTGTCCAGTTTCAGGACTACTCCATCATCAGGCGGCTTGCTACCATACGTTATTTCGTTTGAATATATTTCATCAAATTCTTCCCTTCCTGTTTGCTATTATCCTTTAAATGTCTTCGAAATGTATCATGCATTCTCTCATCTTTTTAAACTGTTTTAAAACTGTCATTTCCCAAGCTAAAAACAAACCAGCCGACTAACGTTATGCCGGATGGAAATGGATATATAGATGATTAAACATACAGTTTTTGTACTGGTCGATTGAGCTACCACTACCATGATTACACTCCATTTTCTACTCACCCCTAAGTGCACACTAGTGCACACCAGCTTTCCACTTCACATTAGTGCCTTTAATTCCATTATTCAGATGTAATAATTACTTCTCTTAAAAATATTGTACGGAGACCGTGCTGGTTGAAATATTACGGGCTGAAAATTCAATAATCGATCACATATGTTGTTTGGAACAGAGCAATTATTACCATTACTATTATTATCTTACAAAAGCTGGAGATGAAAGCAAGCTAAACAGCTATGTGGATAAAAGCAAGAATGCTACCTTAAAATTGAATAAAAGTTTTTAAAAATATTAGAGGTACTTGTACAATATTTAATTTTTCATTGACTTCATTCAGTTTGGATGACTTCTGTGATAATTCCAATTCAACAGATTCCAAGTGCTGACGTGTAGTACGAAGGCGCTACAAAATGAAATGAACAGTGATATCAACGATTGGAATAAATTTTTCAGTTGCTGACACTTAAAAAGGAAGGAGGAAAAAGCCCCTTAAACATCAAAGCTACACAGAATTCGTAAAACAGAGAAAACTATGACCTACTCTAAATACTTTTTATCGGCTTCAGCAAATGTATGGAAGTGAAATAGTTCAAATACTAGTCAATCCTACTGAAGCACTTCATCGATTAATGCAATGACCTATGATAGTTATCAAATGGTATTCATCATGGACTGACATCAATTAGAGGAACACTGGAAAACTGGGAGCTCTGAATAGCTGTCTTGTCCTAGTATGGGACTCTTCAACATTGCACACCCATAACCCTGGTAGGGACCAAACCCAGGACCTTCAGGTTCCGTGACCGGTAAGCTACCATTGAGCTACCGAGTCGGAATCCAATGGTCCATATTTCTAACTGATGTCAGATCTGGTGATCCTCGAAGTTCCAATGAGAAGTTGTGACCGGTGGGTGTTGGTTGCACTATGTCGTGAACCGACAGAAGTTGGAAATGTGGACCACCGGGTTCTTACTGGATGGTTGAATGATAACGTTCTGGTCACGGATTCTGAAGATCCTGGTTTCGATCGCCGGCAGGTGGGGTCATGGGTGTGCACTAGTGAGCAGCCCTATACTAAAAAGAAAAATCTGTCCAGTGCTCCCAGATTTCCAATGTTCCTCCAAATGATGTCAATTCATGATGAATACCTAGTTGAAATCAACAAAAATCCTCACAAACCCCATGTCAAGTAGCAAAATCCTTCCGGCGTCGAAAATGGCTGCATGACGTACAATACAACCTTGTTAACACCAGTAGAGTCTGTTTACTATTGGTCAAATTATCTTGAGATGATGGAGAATATTTGTAGCTAAGGAGGGTAAGTCTGACAGCGTTTGTTTCTCTGAGATGTATGGTTTAATCTTAGAGCTTTCATTGTCATTCTAGACAACATCATCAGAACAAACTTCAGAAAGAAGTGAGTTATAAGGTTTATTCCACAATCTTGATTAACAAACAAAACTTATTACACAAGGATGATGACTGAAATTGGAAGCAACTCTGAGTTATGGTGTAACTGGAAACGGTGGTCTCCATGGTACCGACACAGTGCTCTACAGAATGAGCTTCAACACTCACTCACCCACCAAGTAGACCTAAAATTTAGCTATACACACTCTACAGTATAGAACAATAATTGAAATAAAAGTATACGATTTACCTCATCCAAGTAACATAGTTCGTTGTCTTTTGAAATTCGTAAGCTGCTCAGTTCCTATAAATAATGAATTAAAGAATATGAACTAATGAAAACGATTTGAAATGTATGTTGTACTGACGAAGTAAAAAAATCACATTGATTAATCAGATATGTGAAATATAGTCTCACAAAATTGGTTTGCAACACAGAAAAATGGGGGTGAAACGTTTCGTATGACAGGATGGATGTCAGTATCCAAAGGAAATAATTCATTTTGTAAAACAATAAGAAACACAACTAATAAAATTATTCAGTGTTGATTTTACTTCCATTCATCTTTCTAATACCATTGACTACAATGATATGAGAGGAATTATTAATATATAATATGAGAAAACTAAACTATTACGTTATGAACAATAAAGAAGTTCACTGATGAAAAATTCTTCACTTTTCAAAAATCCCCTATATCCATACTAATAATTACAGTAAAGAGATAACAGGTTGATTTTCGATCAATAGGCTGACACAATGTTCAATTAAGAGTTTGCTAGCAGATCATAGGACTGAATTGTTTAGGACAACGATGACATGATGACGTATAAGAGGATCAATATCATACAAAAGAATAGGTAGACGAGATGAAAGTTACATCCAAAAGATAGTGATGGGTGTTAGACCCCTAGTAAACAGACCAAAGAAAGAGTGAAATAAAAAGAGCATAATGAAATCAGTGGTAATTGGTAAATAAAAAGTAAAGCGAAGATAATACAATGAAAAAAAATAAAAGACTAGTTATCTTTAATTGAAAAAAGATCTCAGATTAGCCACTCATAAACCATTAGAACAATAGTACTTATTCAAACCAAACTTAGTTTATTCAGTCTTTGATTGTGATGTGAATTAAGGCTTATCTTCTGAAACGTTTTCAAAACTATCATTGTTACTATAATCTATGCTTTTTGCGCCAACTTATAACTCATGGTTGAAGACTGAAAAAAAGCTTTATATTTTATATTCACCTGGGTGACTAGCAGTAGAATACAGAATATGCATTTCATCCTATTTGAGATTCGTCAACTGAATATGCCTACACCCCTAGGAGAGATGTTCCCACTGAGACTAGAACCCGGAATTCATCGCTTCAAACGCCAAAGCGTTATCCACTAGACCGATGAAACACGATGGCCAGAGAGGTCGAGCGATTCGGCCCTGTATAGCGATGGGAAATTATAAGTATCGAAACAACAATTGATACAGAAAGCAATCCATTCATATATAGTAGTAATAGCAGGTGCCTTAGATGCTCAAGTAAGGAAGTTGAACCAATCTAAAAGGCATCTGAGAGGTATCTACGGAATCTCATGCCAACGAATTGGCGACCGTGATCGTATTTTTCCGTTTTGTTCTGATAATCACTCCTTCTAGCCAGCACTAAATCCGAGCATAAGTAGAGATACCGGCTCACATAGGATCCACCGACATCAAACAAACTACGGACACAGAAAGATCATATTGTTATAAGACGTAATGAGAGAGGATCGGTGAAGGAGTGCCGTTCTTTCTGTATTACCTGTTTGAACACTGATCACGCATTACCACGTAATCGCGTATATCCGCACCTAACTGGTCGCAGGAAAAAGGTGATGGTAAAGTCTGTCCATGCTGAATTGGAAGATGAGGACGTCAAGTGACAACAATACTAATCCTGAGGAAACCTAGCGTGATATATTAAGTCCACTGCAGAAACACCGGTGAACATCGTCGATAACCCACACACGAAGGTTAGCAAGCATCACTGCATTTCTGTAACATCAGCCGAACTGGTTGACGCGAGAAGACTCATTCCAGCTAGCTGTGACCAGAAGGAAAAGCGAAAGCAACTCAAACGTAAGTTCACCAAGAGTCTTCGTGTCGACCGTGAGCAGTGGCGAGCGGCAAAAGCGACAGAGATGGAGAAGGAATCAGCGTTGGGTAACACCCACCAACTATTTAGGCTTACTAAGGATACCGGCAAGAAGAAAACGATGATTATCGTTACTATCATCGTAAAGAATGGGACAGTGTTAAAAATGGAAGACATGAAGCGGTAACAGGTGTATGAGCATAGGTGTCTTCGTAGCATTGCTCAAGTTCTGCGGAATCACCACGTAAGCAATGTTGAAGTCAGAAGAAGGGTACTAGGCAAGACAAGCAGGTTAGTCGATGATGTTGGGAAAGTTCATCGACTGAAATGGCGCGGACACATACTATGGATGCCAAGTCATGGCCTACCTCGAAGCGCCATCCCAGGGTTAGTTGGGATAGACACCAGTCGATGAAGCCTATGACTACTGGTTTGAGTCGTTTGGGGAGATGGAGACTACCTGACAGGGGTCCACGAGACAATAGGCACCAGTGGTTGAGGACTATTGGTGATATAACAGAAAATCAGTAACTGGAGTATGTGTATTCACTCGTTGACATCTTCCTTAAGCTTGGATATTCGCACTTACCTTTATCTTTAAATAACTAATCTTGCCACATAACTTTGTCTACTTTCCTATTACTCATTTTCTATCCACCAGTTCTTTGTCTACTACTGTGAAGTGTGTCAACTTGGGTCGATGCACATGTGTGCAAGGTTCTACTTTGGTTCTGTCTGTCTGCCATGGGGGAGATTTCATAAAATCTAATGCTGTCAAGTTACAAGACCTAATGGTCACAGAATTACACGGTATTGTATTGACTTCCAACTTCCGTCACTTTCGTAAAAAAACTAAAAAATACGCACCTGTTTTATGTTTTTTGAGAGAAGAGGATTTCAGCAACTAATACTGTGTTTATATCAACAGTAATGAGTCCAAACACTTTTTTGCCACCAAAAGCTTTACTAATTTTTCCATCTGAAGCAAGCTAAAACCCTATCAGTAAGTTGGAGAAAATTGATCGACAAGACAATACTGAACAGATGCAAATGGAAACAAAATGAATATTCTGTTCATATAAACATGTGTATATCACTGCATATAGTGCATGGTATGCAAGGGAGTTGCGCGCAATAATGAAGTAGCTCAAACAAAAAATAGGCAAATTAAAAAGTGCGTATGTATGCTTGTGGTGCATAAATTTTAAGGAGATTCAAAGTGCAATTACACACGAGGACATGCAAAATAATATACCCTCATAGTGTTCACGTTTAAGGTACCACGATAAATAGTGCCTGATTGTAGTGACCCTGTTAGGAAGAAATAATTAGTATTTTGCAGATTATCGAATGTGCTCAATAAAAATTAAACGCTGCTCAGGGAACGGAGCCCAAAAGGCTTAATCGTCTCTTCACTTCCAGTATTTGAATCATACTATATTACTTCTGATTAAAATAAAGGGGGCTTACGACACGATTAGCTGATAGAGAACGTCTTGGAAGAGTCTAAATGAAAACGGAGAAGGAATGCAGAATGGAAAATTACTTAAATGGTCCAATATTCTTACTGTTATCCACAAAATATTCCTTTATCAGAAGGAAGACTTAATAAGAAAAACAAATTTCTGACGTTTCGCGACTTCGTGGAAATCGCTTCTTCAAAGGTTCTACAAGACAACCAACACTCTGAGGAATGCTCTAGTCCACGTAAAAGACAAAGTTCCTTTTACCTCCACACAAAATTGTCTACAAATTAGGCTGTGTCGACTGTGATGCTTATTATATTGATGAATCATCCCGTGAGATCCTCATTAGGGCTAAAGAACATGCAAGCTACACAAAATAACTGCCAAATAATCCTGCAGAACTAGAGAACTTACAAATCATGTCGGCGATCGATAGCACAGTCACAAAATCAATATTGAAAATATTAAAATTATTCAAAAGGGATTTTCAAACTACAAAGAAAGAAGAATAGCAGAGGCATTTCACATTATGTTGAATCCTAATGTACTCAACAGAAAGGAAAGTCTAACTATCCAACCAACCTGGACAGTATTTCCAAAAACAACATCACACAATGATCTGGTCAAAAGTACATACACACAAACAAACCGAATTTGTCATCCATATTATTTATTTATTTTTTCTTACGCTTTCACACCTAGTTACATGTACACATATCACATCACCTTGAACTCCAGACTAATTAAATGATAAACAAAAGCAAATTGTGAACGCTTCCTGACCAGCATAACGATTACATTCACGTTCATATTATCATCATGTATAGACAGTGTGATCTGATTCGTCACCTTTTACTATTTAAACTATTCTGTGAAGAAGCGATTTCCACGAAGTCGCGAAACGTCAGAAATTTGTTTGTCCACTTCATTGGGGTTTTATTTCATTTATAATCCAATTACCCAATGCTCAACCTATTCAACTCTATCAGGTCAAATTTTGATCCTGAACTTTAAAAAAGAAAAACATTTAGTTTTAAATGCCTCAAAGAAAGTTTCCCTTAGAGATAATGTGATCGACGTCCATCGACCCACCCTGCAATGTGACCACTAAGGGATGTGATACAAGACTGTAGTGCTTCTAGTTTAGTGCTGCATTTCATGAATCAATCTGCAAGAGGTTTCTGTCTTGTTAGTATTCATCAACAAGGCATGTCTCATGGTTGCAGACAAACTCATAGTGATTTTAGTCAACTTATAATAAATAACATCATAGAAAATAATAATAAGACGGTAAAAATAGGTACTGACTTCTTCGAGGATTTTCCTTTCACTTTGTAGTTTATCTAATTTATTCATAGCATTTTTAAGTGCATCTTCACTGGCTTCTTTACTTTCGTCTGCAAGTTGTTTAGCCAGCCTTCCGGTGTGAACTGCCTCTTCTAGATGACTTAATTCATCTGATAGAAGCATTCGTTGGCGACGTTGTTCATTGAGACTAGATTCAATAGACTGTTTCAGTTCACTAGCCTTCTGCAAACGTTGCCTATTAAATGTCAGTATCAAGTAAAACATAAATGTAGGCGGCAGGGATTATTAACTGAGAAATAAGATGCGTGACACGATAAAAAGTAACAGGGTAAACGTGTTACAAAATATTTTTCGAATTCTTTAAGTCGTTAATTTTTTGAAGGGAAAAACAATTCAAATTTACAACAATAATGAGCTGAAATTTCATGAGAAGAGAACTGAAAGCTTTAGAATGATGAAATATTTTTGTTAAACCAACAGTTGAAGCTTCGAGTAAGCATATTCAGTGACTTGCAAATGTTTTCCCAATCATTAATCTTCTATACTTATAAACCTTAAAGTTTAGCATGCTTTACAGAGCAACAGCTTTAGATGGGAGTAAAAGATTTCCTCAAAAATCAAACAACGGGGAGAGGTTACAGCTGAGAAAAATTGTTATAATTGTACAATTTAAGTTTTAATCCTGAAATAAACTGTCAAAAGAATCAAAATGGCTCACAGACACAAGGTGATACGAAGTGAAAAACCCAGGAACCACGCTTCTTACATCAAAAAATTCTGCAAAAAAATAATTCACCCAAGATGGTCTCATATATAGACATACATATATCCCTACTAGCCATAAGTCGAAACTTAGTAACATCAGAATCATTCGCAGGGGAAATTGTGTAGTAGAATGAAAGTCTCGTAGGTGAGTGCTTAGGACAAAGTAAGATCGAACACTGTCGGAACCAATTGTAGGTTGAAGTAAAAGTTAGTAAGGATTAAATTCTACGAAAAATGACAAAACCAATACAAGAAAATTGTACAAATAAACAATTAAAAGTATCCACCTGCATTGTCACATAATGCTTGTAGAATTAACACAAACATAAAATTCACTCAGATACTTTTAGATAAACTTTGGTAGTTGTAATTTTAAGATGCAGTAATTTATACGGCGAAAAACACGGAGATTAAAAGCGAAATGGGCATGAAAATCTTTTTTACCTCTTCTGCCACCGAGGAATCAACAGTCTTTAACAATATTTCAAGTCATACTTCCTGATGTTGATCCAGTAATGCCTGGAAACCTACGTCCTAACGAGTCAATCGATTTCATATATTTTTGTTTAAGTAGCACTTTTCAGAAAAGTGATAGGTAAGTATAAATGCGCATAATTCAATCTGGAGGTTTGTGGGCTGACAACAGCTGGAGAAACATTGAAAACCTGAGAGCACTTGACAACTATTTCATTTCAGTATGGGACTGCTCATCAGTGCGCACCCATGACCCTGTCCTCCCAGGGATCGAACCCAAGATACAGTTCATAATAAAGTGCGACCTCCAATGCTGTCGTTGAGTAACTGTCCTCATGTTCGACTTGGCTGGCCCAATCGGTCACGAATGCATATTGGAACTTCCGGAATAACCTATCAAAGCTAGTCACCAATGAGCATCAGATAAATTCAGTTTGGAGGTCTGTAGGGAATATTTATTGGCTTCAGGCCAGAACCATGGACTGACATTAGTTGGAAATACGAACCATTGGATTCTCACTCAGTGCCTCAATGAAAACGTTCTGGCCACGGATTATGAAAGTCCTGGGTTCGTTCCCTGGCAGGCACTGTCATGGATGCGCACTGGTGAGGAGCCCTATACTAAGACGAAACATTTTTCTAGTGCTCCCAGGTCTCGAATGTTTCTCTAACTGGTGTCAATCCATGATGAATACCAACTTTAAATAAATGTGCATAATTGAATGAAGAGTGTAAATGTCAAGCAAAAACTGTAGCCTACTTATTGTCACGCTGACAGATAACATTCTTATAAATGTGTAACAACAAGAAATCTCTTCAGTTATAGAAATCTCACAGCTGCTTTAATAGAGACATATTTTTCCAAAATCACTTTGGAAGATTATCGAAAGGATTCTAATTTTATCCCAATATTCAATCAATTTCAAGGTTTGATCAAAAAAGCACATTTAAACTATAAAAATCCCATAGAGGACACAAGAGATGGATTCACTTCCGTTAGTATTTGCGGACATTAGTATGTAAACAGTTCATCTACATGAAATACAATAATTAACTTACTGAACAATATTAAATTCACCACGACTGTCAGTTGTTTGCTTAAAAATTCGATCACAATCAGCAAGAACTGCATTACGTTCGATATTCTTTTGACGTAATTCATTAGATACTGCTTCAGATTCTGCTTTAATTCGGGCTAATAATAGATTTGATTCCGAAATTGAATCTTTCAGAACAGTATTCTGACTATAAAAAAGATTACGAAATTTACAAAAACTTCATTCAGAATTAACGTATACACTTAGAAAAAATTCAGTTCAATCATAAACAAAAGATCTTATCGATATCATTGCTCAAATAACCTAGGGGATTACGGTTATTTACGGTAGACAATATGACGAAACTTCTAGTATTTGCGTAGTAATGCCTTCATAACATCACCTATGCGTGATGATACTCTAACATGAGTAATATAGAAATTCTGTGTAAAGTTTTAAGTGAAGAAGAGAATCAATTTTATGAAGTTGTACACCTCTTGAAATGGCTAGGAAATGAATTGTGTATATATGCCAATATCACTGTTGTCTACACCAACGCTGAAGCAGGATTAGGTTAGAGAAAAGTGAGGCGAGTCAGACTAAGAAACAGTACTAGCTCATGAAGGTTCATGATTGTTGGTCACAGTTTCGTATATCACATCGCTTATTCCAAACATTCTATATCGATAGAAAATAATTTAGTAGGTTTTAAGCAAATAAATATGTCAAATGATCTGAATTTTCAACCTTTTTACCTCAAGGTATTACGTTAGAATGCAAAGTAATTAGGATATATAAGCGTAAAATAGAATCTAGGTGACCTACGCAAAAAAAGACATTTTACTTTGTTTTGAAAAAAAACAATTTCCAATGTTTAAAGTCCAGTACAATTTCCAGAGGGCAAGTAGATATTGTCTATTGCTATTATTACACGATTCCCAAAAAGGTCTAAGCTACTATGGTAACTTCAAACTGTAATACAGGAAATGTATGCGGTAACAAAGCTGATGAATAGAGATAAACTGATTATGATGTTTAGTGTTTCCTTGACTGAACACATAACCAAACCTGGATAATATATTATATCGAACAGTAGGTAAATTGAAAAGTTGAAAGACCAAAGAAAAGTCTGAATGTTTAAAAAATGGTAGTACAATTGCTATCTAAGTATAAAGACAAGTCATATATTGTTCATAGGTGAAACTAATTCTGAATATCACCGATGAACAGATTTTCACTACATATTTAACAGTGGAATGAGGTAGAAAGCAACAGTTAAAAAACTCCATGATGGCGAATTTAAACAGGATAGTGTCTGAACAGGCAATCTGACAGACCCAGTGGTTTAGGTTGTATGTAATCACAATGACTAACCTTGACTTCATAGTGAAAATAACCAAAATACATGACAAAGCCCAATCGGCAAACTGCTCTCCTATTTGAATGTCTACTGTAGTATCGTAGTGTTAAAATGGGGAACATGTAAAGGTGAGATAATTTCAGGAGGTGAGGTTATAGAACAGTTCGTTATCATGTGACCAAGTTGCGAGTGATAATTTCAACTCGCAACTGGTGATCTCATCCTCTTTAAACCTTACGTCTACTGGATATTTCAAAACTTGTTTTGAATGCACCACGTACCTTTTGGTAGCTTAAGCCAGTTGGTATGGAAATTTGTGCTCTCTTCCTCAAAAGGCTGGTGAATATTTGTGGTTAACAACTTATGGGGTAATGTACAAGAGCATTCTGTAGGCTAATCACTGGTATATGAACATCGATAGTTTCCCAAATAGTATTGATCTGCTTTCAAAACTCCAAGAACTTTAAACGTATTGAGCGAATCATGGTGAACGGCAATCAGTAATTTAGCCTAGATTTTCATGACAAACCGAAAAGTAGGACTGAAAGCCAAGGGATAATGGTAAATTTGTATGCAACCAAAAAACGAGGTTATTGACTTTTTGAACAGTGAAGGAAATCCCATTGGAAAAAGACAGTACTAAAACAGAAGAACTTGAAATTTTACTCAATAAAAGCCATATTCTGAAATTAGATAAAATCAGTCATCCAATAAAATACGTCAACCAAAGTATAAAGATGAGAACACATAGGATTCATAGCAAGTAGATGTAGTTACTATTTATTGAAATACTTATTGTTCTCCGTTGTTTTGTTGGATCGAATTGTTCTACCTCTATTGGCATATGGGCTCCTATGCGAATACCTCGATATTGCCTGAATGTTAATTATGATAAACTGGTTGGTTGTGGCTAGCAGAAGAATCCAGGACGCGCGTTTCGTCCTATTTGGGTGTTTGAAGCGATGGAAACGAGGCTCGAGTCCCAGTGGGAACAACATCACTGGGATGCAGGTACATCCAGCTGACGAGTCCCAAATAAGACGAAACATACGTCCTGGATTCTTCTGCTAGCCACAACCAACCAATTTATCACAAGTAGATGTAGGTTATAAGAATATGGGATTTATTTACAATGACTCACGTCTCTAATTCTTTGGTTTTTGATTGAAAGTTGTCCCATTGAGATTTTGTAATATCACGTTCTTGTCGCAAATGAGTCAGTTCTAATTCCACTTGTTCTTTTTCTTTACGAATGTACTCTAATTCTGATTGCTCACGTAATACATCTTTGCGAATAGTTTCATATTCTGTGTTCTAAATAAAATATATAACGTAATCTTAAGCTCGACAATAAGTACGGCTAGATGACATATCGGTGAAAATGTAAACCAAAGCAAATGGACTCAAATGAATATGTAAGAATATGATTTGACAGATTTCTCACTATAAACAGGTGAGGGGTTACAATCATGAAGGTTCCATCTACTACTTCCTTCTCATTTAAGACACTGTAATATCGAACACTGTCGACATATCCTGAGGGTAAAAAGAAGGATATTTAAGTTTGATGAGGAACAGATTATTGTTGAGCCAATAGGACAAAATACCCTCACCCAATGAAATTTAAAATGATTCCATAGATTTACAACTGTGTGAAACATATTCAGCAAAACTTCCTGGTCAAGTTAGTGGACTCTGGAAAACTGTCTTACCTAGGGTATTTTTTATATAGGGAGCATCGAAACAAGAATAATTAAATATTATGTACCAGTTTGCTTTATTATTATTATTTTTTCTCTTGGATTCCTAGTGGAACATACGGCTTCAGTAGCACGCCTCCATTCCACTCTGTTCTCTTCAGTCTTTTGGACCTGGCACCACGACTGCCCACAAGCTTTCATTTCTTCTTCACATGATCTCCTCCATGTCACCCTCGCCTCCGACGCCCAACTCGCCGTTTCCCCTTTGGATTCCACTCGAGGGGTGTGATGTCCCCAGTCGGTCTTCTCAGTGTATGTCCGATCTAATCCATCTCTACTTTCTTCTGCATATTTGTTGGGTAACAGGTTCTTGGTTGGTTCGTTCCCAGAGTGAGTTCCTTGTTGCTTATTCTTTCTGGCCATCTGATCCGATCTTCAGTATCGAGCCAGCGTAGGCGGCAGCTGTTGATGAATGTCTATAGTTTGTTGGAAATGCTTTTCGTAACGCTCCAAGTTTCTGAACCATGTGGCAGCACTGACTTGACATTGGTGTTAAAAATCCGGATCTTGTTCTTTGTGCTGAGTGTAGTAGATCTCACTACTGATTTCAGGTTAATGAAAGCTTGTCTTGCTTTTTCAATCCTGGTTTTGAGATTCTCGTCTGTGCCTGTGCCGCCACCTATAGTTGAAACGATGCTGCCTAGGTAGGTCGGTAGGTAGGTGAAAGAGAAGTTTATTTTCCAAACTTACTTAGTTGAATTCTTAGCCAAGCGCAATTTTTGTAACAGACGTAGGATGGTTTGAGTATTCAGTTCACGACTTATTAACTGTATTGGGTGAAAACTCGGTCTATCCATATGGAGGTTAACGCCTACAATCTTTTGGAAATCATAAACAAAGAAAAACAGTCAGTGGTTGAAGTTTATGTTAATTTCTGGAAAAAATAGAGCCACTCACTTATGACTATCAAACGGTATATATGGATCCAACTAGACAGGAAACAAGTCATCATTGAATTATCTCAACTTTTCCGACTCTGACCGGCTACTTTGATTGTTAGGATACTGTTTAAGTTTATCAAATAGATTTATTGGTTAAATATAAGTAGTATATATAAACTAAAGAGAAAAAACTTACTTTTCTAATCTTTGCAACTTCATGTTCACGTAATTCTTCTTTCTCTTCATTTAACTGTGTTTGTAGCCTTTCTAACTGATTAATTAAATCTCGTTGTTGTAAGCTTAGATTTAATATTCTTGATTCTTCTAAACGTGACATTTCTGTCAGATGCTCATATTCACGATTTTGTCGTGTAACCAGTGCATTCAGTTCAGCAACAGACTTCAAAAGAAATAATCAAAAAAGCACGTGTTGTTCTTAGTCAAATAGTAACAAAAAATATAATTCATAATCAGATAAATGTACAGATATAAGTCTATTTAAAGGCAAGATATTTCTAAAGCTGTTAGTGTGACAAGTGCATATGTCGTATAACTGAATTCACATACACAATATAAAATGAAACGTAACTATTCTTTTTTTAACAAAAGAAGGGGAAGTGATTCTAAGAAATAGTGCGAAGTGACTACATAAGACGAAATTCACTGAATAAAATGTTTTTTTCTCAAAAGGAAAGCAGATATAAGATAGATTATTCAAAGCGCCCATTTAACAGTTAGTTAATCAAGCTTGAATCCTATTGCAGTGACTTATAAAGACAACATTCTTCAGCTTGCCATCATATGGGACTTTATTGATGAATAAATAATGAAGTTAGTATGGGGAAACTGATTACAAATGCATACAGGAATATGTTACGATAAGTAGCGGCTTGTTTAAACTTTGGGCTACCTCATTTTACCACAGAATATATTCCATTAAATTTCTCCTTTCTACATTGTCTTAACCATTCAGCTATGCTATCTAATCATATTATATACTCTCGTGCATTTTTAAAATTCTTTACGACCTATCGCTTCACAAGTTGATAGCCAAATAAAGGAAAAACACTACGGAGGATGGCGACGGGCTCTTGAGTGTATGATTATTCCAGAAATTACAGAACCCACTTATCAACTTTACAACAATAAATAATATTTGACTAACAATGTAAAAATTTTACTTGTTATTAATATTCTTTCCAGACATTGTTATATTAACACTATTCGTAATGCTGTAAAGAAGTATATACACATATTTTTCTGGTGCAATGTGTAATGCTAAAAATTCCTGCTGGCAACAAAACATTGTGCGGAATAAAGTGGTTATTACAGTTATTATTGTTATTATTGTTAAATAAGCACATATTGTGAATATTTATCCAGTTATGAAGGTGTAATACAAGAGTGATTAGTAGTTAGTAGGTTTGATTATAAGTGAGAATTCATTAGCCTAATCAAATACCTACACAGGAGTTTGATGACAATGTTTTACTCCTGTTTAACAGTCCTCTATAGATCGAGTAGCTGTGTCTCTTCAAAAGAGAAAAAATGCAAAATCACTTCCATTTTATGTAAGTGTAACTTGAGAATGGATTACTTATCTTATACTTCGCACAGTTAAAAAGTAGTATTTACTAGATAACATTTCGAACAGAATTTACGGTTCATATTCATATCACACTTGATATTAATATAAAGTAGCATGAGTCTATGGAATCTGTTTACAAATTAATTATCAGTGAAGATGAACAAGCTGCTTGTGAAATGATCTGGAAAGATGGGAAACAACTGCATTTTTGGTGAAAACCAGTTGATTAAAAGTCTATCAAGGACCGGTTATTTCAGTAACACATCTAATCACATTGACTGGTCAGCTGGGATACAGAATACCCTTTTGGCATTTGCTAAATTGCATCATCTGTGGTACGGGCAAAATATTCGACTAACCATCAGAGGACGAGTAAACTTTGCTGCAGTCTGTTCTATCCTTTTATACGGCTGTAAGACATGACCATTAAAAAAAGATATGAAGTGACAACTGGGTTTCGCTCACAGATATCTTCCTACTATTGCTCGCATTTAGTGGAATCATAGTATGAATAATGTTGAAGTCAGGCGAAGGGCACCAAGAAATACAGGCAAGTTAATTGATGAGGTGAGCGTTAGTCAATTGAGATGGCTTGGAGACGTACTGCGTATGCCAAGCCACCGCCTATCTCGACCTACCACACTATGATTAGTTGGATTAGACACGAGTCGATAAAGTCTCTGACTATTCGTCTGAGTCGTGTGAGATGTAGACTACCTGACAGGAGTCCCTAAAATGACTGTAATCAGTGGTTAGGGTCTATTGGTGACAACTGGAAGTCGATAACAATGGACAGATGTATTCACTCCTTGACATCTAATATTTGAACATTTGCACTAACTGTTATCATCAAATGGCTTGTTCTTTTACACAAATTTGTCTACTTTGATATTACTCTTTTTCTATTTGCTTGTTCTTTGTGTACTACTAAGAAGTGAAGCGGCTTGAGCCAATGTATGTATACGAAGTTCAATGTTGATTTTGACGGTCGGTCATTGGAGGGTGACCGATTTCCCGTTGTCAATTCCTCAGTACTGACCGAATTTTACCAAATAACTCGTCTTTAATTGCAGCACTGGTTGACGTGGGTTCGCATGTCTCAGAGGAAGCCAGATCCTTTAAGGTTGCATATATGCCTTGGTGACGAGTGCCAACAAATACAAAACCTAGGTCCACAGCTTCCTGACAATTACCTCCAACGAACTAACACACTTCACTACGTCAAAATCTAGTGAATTTCATAGACGACACAAAACCTGCTTAAAAATTGCCACAGGTTTCAGGTTTCAAAGAAAAGATAATCAACAAAATTTAGTCACCTTTTGTTCTCGATTCAGCTCAATGAGCATATTTTCTCGTTCCAAACGTAGAGCTTTAACTGACTGTAAGATACGTTCTTTCTCATCAAGAGAAGCGTTTAATGACACCTGTTATGAATAAAATGAATAGACGTTTTTTCATTTGGCAAAAAATTAACAAAACAAATGTAGTATTAGCGATATTATAACTTTACACTTTTCTGGAGAAAGCCGCTACATTGATATTACTTTTAAAGCAGTCTGTTTTATATTGATGCCAAATTCTACCAACATCTCTTATACTGACAACTGCCAGTCATCTTGTTTCATATTACAATGTTATTCACTAGACAGAAAATAATTTTATCACTGATAAAGATGAAGTTCTAATTTCCATACTTATCATCATCATCAAAATCAACACAGGACCAGGCATCACGGCGTAACGTTTCAAGTTGCCACACCTCATAACAGCACATCAAGTAACAAGGAAATGAAAATAGAAGATGAAGAAAAAAAGAAAAGTCTGTCAAAAAAAGTAGAAAGTAACAAAAGAAGGAGGAACGAGAAAATGACGAGAGAGAGTATAGTAATCAAGATGGAAATAATTTGAGTGTACATCTGCGCCACTGACATCGGTTCTGGGCCATATCACCTAGAGTCTCCAACTACTGATTTCTCTTGTCCTGCGAGGCCCAACCGTCTAGTCTGCATCTCCGAACATGGCTCAAACCAAAAGTCAAGGACTTCATCTATTGGTGCTGTTTTAGTCTGGCCACCCCGAGTCTTTTTCCAGCCTGAACTTGCTTCGGCCAACATTGTGCGACGAGATGAACGGTGATCAGGGATACGTAACACATATTAACACATGCCATCTCAATCGATGTGGGTTCACAACCTTATCAACTGACTTACCTCACCCCACTAAAACTAGGCGCCTGACTTCTGCGTTACTCAGGTGATGAAACCACGAAACACGGCCTACGCTACGAAGGCAACCATGGTCAAACGCCTGAAGCCTTCTCATGTCCTCTACTTTGAATGACCATATTTCACAACCATACAGCAGAACAGAGCGAACTGGAACACAGTACAGTCGACCCCAAATAGACAGTTGGGTATCGCGGTTGGCGAAAGTCAACCGAACCGGATTGCTAGAGTTTCGGCCAATGAAAATTGTTGGCCAATTTGACGGAGGATGCGGATATTGAAGTGTAATTTGGAGTATGGTTTAAGGAGACCAAGGACTCAGATCGTTGTCGAAAGCTGCAAAGTTAGAAATTAAAGATGATATAGGACTGCTAACTGAGAGATGTATCTGAAGATCAGAAGATAAGGAATGAGTGAGGTGGATAGTAGTCTGAGGGAACTTCAGCTCCAACACAGTTAGGAGGGTGGTTGACACTTCCAGACTGCCCACACCACGGAAAACTAGACCTTCTCGAGGTACCTGAAAAAGAAGGGTTAGTGCATGACCACAGAGCACAGGGGACGTCTGCTTGGGACCGGTCACGTACGGCCTTTTTGATGACACGACAATTGGCCTTTATTATAGATGTCATCGAACATACGTCCTGTGATTTTGGATCACCACTAAGTGCTGATGACTGATCTAAGTCAACATAATGCATCATCTCTTGGTTTAAAAACATGTTAATGGTAAGGGTAACTGCTTTTTCTCTAACCACTATCCAACAGACCTTATTGGTATGGTAGGACCTCAAGAGAACAAGCGTTTCCCCAGCATAGTTCGTTAGGCCATCGTGATACGCAAGCCTGACCTCCACGTCAAGGTTACAGCCAAAACATTTAGGCATCTGCATAAGATATACAGTTTGATTATCATCAACATTTGTTTCAATATAAAAAAAGAAACAATACAACCTGTTGAAGTGTAGCTTCTAGTCAGATACACAGAACAACAAATAATGCTCTAAAAACTCGGAATAACTATAGAATAATTACTAATACGAAAGATGGCTAACTTCAGAGCATACTAAGAAAGTTCATAAGAAGAACATAAAATAACAATGGACTAAAACAAATGAACTGAAAAGTGAAATTTGTTGGATGGATGCACTTTTCCTACCTGTGTGTCATTTAATTCCTGTTGCTTATTTGCGGTTTGTTTAGCCAACTCTCGAACATTTGACGTTGAGTTCTCCAATTCACGTCTTTTTTCAGCTTTGATTAGCTCCAATTCAGTCTTTTTCGCCTCAGTTTCTTGACCAAGTACCTCTAGACGAAGTTTATCTTCTTCAATCTGAATTGATTACAGTACAGGAAAGTGAATAAACAAATCTTATAAATGGTCTATACACTTCATAGGATTGAAAGCATGGTATGGGTAAAAACGACAGAGTTTCTCAACCTATTTATATGACTTTTTATGCTAGTTATGTCACATTTACGTTTACTCAATTGCTTGAAAGTAAATACCATCTTTAACACGTCATTTTGTTAGACTTCAGCCTAATCAGAAAATACCATCTTAGAAACTTGAGCGAATAGTTTGCATATAATACTGAACAGAAACCAAGGATTTCGAAATTCTCATGTTCGAAATGATATCACAGTGTATTGAATAAACCAATAAATCTTGTGACGTGAGCAGTATGGCCATTTTAAATGATTATCCCTGTGGTCAACTGATAAATATGATGCCGAATGGAAGAATTAGTTGCCCAACGTTTAAATCATCGAGTTTTATTTGTCTAAGTTTTAAAATCAGTTCGAGTAATTTCTAACTGCTAATAGTATGTTTAGGAGGTGAAAATATGAGTGACTTTAAAGGCCACCCTAGTAACTGCTGAAATAACCAACCAGGTTCCACTATCTTGGCTGAAAAAGTAGTCTTATAAAATACAGAAACCTAATTAGTTATCTCAGTAGTTGATTGGGTGGCCTTTAAATCTCTCACAAATATTTGTTTCTCGATACAATTTAAAAAAAGCAAAAACACTATATAGGTAGCTTTCATTGGATTCATAGAAAATCAACTAGTTGGTGTTCATTTGCCATGTTTAAAGTGTCACAAGTCCTAATATTTTCAAATAGGACAAAATGCGCATCCTGGATTCCACTGCTAGCCACTGCCCATCATTACTATATTGTATTTAGAGGTCAATAGGGATTTTAATCTCTGAGTAGTATTTACCACGAACTGGCATCAGTTGGGGAACCATTGAAAAACTTGGGTTACTGGACAGCTGTTTCATCCTGGTATGGGACTCCTCAGGAGTACGCACCCATGACCCGGGCGTGCTGGTAAGGAGTCCCATATTAAGATGAAACAGCTTGTCCGGTGTCCCCAGTTTTTTATTGGTTCACCAAATGATATCAGTCCGTGATGAATACAATCTCAAAAATTTTAATATTGTCGGTTTGACTATCCGATAGAGCAGTGGTTTGGCAGATTTGTATCAATGTCCACAATTTTCACCTTTAATCTTATGATTGTTGTCACTCACTCCAATGACTATTATTATTGTTAAACATATTTTTGTTTATCTAACGCTTATAGTTTCTTAGTTGTGCAGTGTCATCAAGCTACCCAACTGACTACTAACTGTCCTATATTCCAAGCATATCCAATTCAAATGCTATCTTGTACTTACAAAAATCACCGAATGACTATAATGTCACCTGTGACCTTTTTGTCTCTTGTTTACAATCAAGAAGCATATGAATAGTAAAGCATATACACATACACGCCAACCATACAATGAGACATACCATTTCACACTGAATAATTATTAATTATATTTTAAAAAGAGACCGGATTGCCGTCCAGAAGTGAAATAAAAATCTGGTCAGCAGTCGGATCTCGTAGTTCTGTTAGTATAGCATCAGGCCGGAAACCCGGTGGTCGCTGGCGTGACTTCAATCATCGCCTAGTATCACTTACAAACCTTTGATATTTTAATTCTGATTATTTCCATGAAGAAGCTCGGACCAGGCTTCCATCCTAAATGTTGAGATTATTCTCTTTCAAACACTATGACTGACAAACAAATACAAACTATATTTAGTGTCAACCCTCTTACTCAGCGTCCAATATTTCCGATACAATTCGGTGAAATCTTTATAGTAGTTCATACTTATTAACTGTTCTGTTCAAAATGAGGTCATTCACCCCTAGCCATTTTATCCCTCAATATCAGTTTATTACCCCTTCCAACCTATTCATAGTTCTACTTGATTTAGCTAAATTCTTAACTATATATTGCTGTGCCTCATTCAATAATGTCTTAGTCTGTATTATGTATGTGAGCATTCCTTCACTGCATAACAGTACATAAAATCATGTAAGTACAGTAAAAAGCTCAAGAGTCCTACTGAAATTTGTTAACTCAATAAGTCCTGCTTTAGCAATATTTGTTGCTTGTTTTAAGTAGTATGTTTCATGCTAAAAGATCTGTTGTGTAAAAATGTAAACCAACTGTTCATATGAGTATTTGAAAGAAAACCACTCAGCTTTACGCTAAAACAGAATTATCAAGTCAAAGAAATATTTTATGAAAAATTTGGTTAAATGTTAACATCTTTATATTACTACATGCAGTGTTCCACAACCGTTACTTGGACTTTGGTAATTATTTCTAGGGATTCTGAAATTCCATTCTCATTTGCTCATGCAATTTTCTATATATCCTAATCAAGTAGGTGATAATAATCAATCACCAGTCGGCTAGAAAGTTGAGTTCTAAGTGGTTATCGTTGTTGTTATTGTTAGCGTTAGTGTCGAATAAGAATGCTACTTGAGACATATATCTTTGGGTATTTGTAAAAAAATCTATTTCTTATACTATCTAATATCACTTTATCCTTCTCTACATCCACCAATTAACTCTGACCTTTGACCCGAATCTTGTCTGGAACATTCTATCATCCTACTTGTATATGTTTATAAATGTACAGCTCTGAAAATGAATCGTCGAAAAGTTAGTTACCATCACTATAAACTACTTTCATTTTTTGATGATTAAATGCGACATTTTCGTTATTCAAAAGCAAGATATTCAGTGGAGAGGACTCTTCAACGAGTTTATTCTCAAGCTGTACATTTATGGATATTTATGATATTTAAGGACTGTAATCTATGAAGAAGATTTGACTTATAATGGGGTGGGGGGTTGAAATAATGATAACGGTGCTTATAAGGAATACAGTCTTTGTCTCTACCTTAGCCTTAATTTATTTTAGTCTTAGTGTGCTTAGATCCTTTTTCGTTCTTAAATCCCGCCCCCTCCTTTCTGTCAGACTAATCTTTGTACTCTTATATCGTCATTATCACTTTATTTTTACATTTAATTGTTCCCGGTCTTATTTCATTTGGTCTTCCCAATAGTCGCAATTTTTAACAAAACATTTTCAATCTTTCCAATTAATTTGTCTCATTCATATCACCTAATCCTTTGACTGTGTAATAACTCTATCACGTTTTCACCCCTTTTTAATATATTTATATGCACCTTATGAACGATTTAAAAATCTTAAGTAACTCTTTTTGTTATCATTCGACCTTTACGTTATCAACTAGCAATATTATTATTATAACCACCATAATTATTATTTCAACCCCCCGCCGCCATTATTTAAGTTAAATCTTCCTCACAGATTACAGTTTTTGAATGTCTCATATATATACGAAGGTACAGCTTGAGAACAAATTCGTTGAAAAGAGTCCTCTTGGTGGAATATCTTGTTTTTGATGTCACAATGGGAATAATTTCCGTTATTCGCGTAATTTACGTTGGTCTATCGTACGCAAGAGTAATTTAGGAATCACTGTGAAAAGCGTAATTATCTCACAACTTTTCGATGCATATATGTGGTCGCATACTCTTGGTTGCGTTCTGTTCCCTGAGATGGGTTGTTTAATCGCGAAGTTTTCACATTGCCTTTCTAAACTACATCATCTGCGCTATCTTTAATATGAAGTGAGCTGTCCGTGAGTGATTTATCAGATTGTCCTAACAAAGTGGTTTGTGACTTGTTGTCTTCTTCAATTATTGTGTCGTTGACTGCATAGATTTTCTTGTTGGCTATTTTCCTATCCGATCTCTAACCTTTCGGTTGTTTATTTACTTTTCTTATTGACTGATAGATTGGGTCTATGTCTATACACCTACTGATTGCTCGATGAACTGAATGCTAAGCTTTTAGGAACTCTTGAAATTCTTTGTATTTCCTCTGTTCAAAATTTCTTCGTTGTCAAGATCGAATTCGTGTTCATAGTTATCCACATGCATCGAAATGATCGATGAAATGTTGTAACGTTTAATAGCCAACTGGTATTCATGTGGACGTAGGTGGAGAGGGTGATCACTTTGTCGAATGCAATGTTAATGACAATTATTGCAGTTGATTTCGTAAATAATATTTAGTTTATCTCCTTCAGCTTTGTGTTCATTGGTTTGCAGGGAATTAACTGCTTTCTGAGCCATATCAATTCCAATTCCAAGTGGTCTCAGTAATCTTGTCGTGATCTCCCATACATTCTTTATGTACGGTGGAATGATCCGTTTTGTGATTTCTGTGGATGACCTTGTACTTGGTGATGAACGAGATAAGCTTCGTGAGTAACCAGAACAAATAGCAATCAATTTTCCTCATTTCTCCATGAAGTTGTTGTACTGTAGTGTGTTCTCTGTCTTAAGGATTGAATCTGTAGGCAATTAATTTTGTGCGTTGTTGGGTTGTTGCTCCAGTAGTTGAGGATTTGATCAGTATGTGTTGACTACCTGTACACTTGACTTTCCAGTTCCCCCGTATTTGTTCTACTGACTAAAAAAATCCAGGAAAGGCAGTTAGCTGGTTGTTCGACTCTTTCTCCAATGTGAATTTGGTATCATTGGAAACGTTGTTGGTCAAACTGATGACAAAAGTATCGTCCAAATATCAGGTCCAGACATTCGGTTTAGTCACAGGTAAAATGATGGTTTTTAGCCTCTGTATTACTTTTTCTGCAATTAGTTCGGATACCAGTGATCCTGGTAGAGTTCCTTTCATCTGCTTGTATATCTTAACATTTAATTGGAAGCGCACCGTCAGACACCAATACTAAAAGGTGCACACAAATGTAGAAAAATTTATGAAGCATTTATAACAATTAGAATGGGTTACATTATCTTCATCAAGCTACTTTCAAGTCTAATGGGTGGATAATCATGAAGATTTTTCGAAAACCGTCTTCGATATACATATATACATACATTACATACATACATTACATACATTACATACATACATACATACATA